GCGCGAGGAGAGGGCGGCGCAGAGCCAGAGCAGTTCGCTGCGGGCTGCGTCGGCGCATGTGGCTCCTCGTCCGATTGTGCCTCCTGTTGTCCCTCCGCCGGCTGCTGCACCTCCCCCTCTTGTTCCTGCCCCGTCCGCTCCTTCTCCTTCTGTAGCGGCGCCGGCTCCCGGCTCCCGCCTGCATCTGCCGCCGGTTCCGCCTGTTGCGGGGGTGGAGTTTGTGGCCGCGGGTGGTGGCGCGGCCGCGGCTCAGTATGCAGCTGATGAGCCGCTCCAGTTCCTGGCGGAGGCGCTTCAGCCTCCGCAGACTCGTGTTCCCCAGGCGACTCTCGGGCAGCTTCACCGCCTGGCGGAGAGTCTTCACGCACTGCTGCTAATCCAGGTTCTTGCTCACACGTCCCTCCCCGTGGTTCCTCCTGAGACGTTCCGCGACCGTCCGCGCGAGACCTGCTTGGATGCGGCGGACCAGCTCGCCGTGCTGCTGGCGCCCGTGCTGGCTGCGCCCGCGGAGGGTGGCGCTGCTGCTGCGGGACAGCTGGACGAGGCTGTCCGGAGCTTGATCTAGAGCCTGGATCTGGAGCCGCGGCGATCGGCGCAAGCACGCTTGTGGTCCGGGAGCTGTGGCGCTCCCTGACGGGCGTTCTTCACACTCTCGGAGCACACCGCATGTAGTTGCGGGCTCCCCTCTATCTGTTTCCGCCATTCTAGGCCGCTATGTGTGATGCCATGTGTGTATGTCAACTCAGTAGTGAAGTTCTTTGCGCTGTGTGCGCTTGCCGTCCCCTCACGCGCGGCCGAAGGCCGCGCCGTCGAGCGTCGGCCGCCGAAGGCGGCCGGCGCCAGCAAAATTTTCCGGCCCACAAATGAATAATGAGCAGAGGAGGCACGAACAGCTACTTAAGTACCTAAGAGGACGAGGGCAGAGGCTAAGGGCAGAGGGCAGAGGCTAAGCCTCTCTCTCTCTCTCTCGCTCTCTCGAACGAGCAAAATTTTCCGGCCCACAAATGAATAATGAGCAGAGGAGGCACGAACAGCTACTTAAGTACCAAAGAGGACGAGGGCAGAGGCTAAGGGCAGAGGGCAGAGGCTAAGCCTCTCTCTCTCTCTAGAGAGAGAGAGCGAGCGAGAGAGAGAGAGAGAGAGAGAGAGTCGAGAGACTCTCTAGAGAGGAAAGATCTGGAAGAGAGCGAGACGAGAGAGCGAGAGAGATGAGGGGATGAGCGAAGATCGAGATCGCGATCTCTCTATCTCTAGCGAGAGAGACTCTCTCTCTCTTATCTCTGAAGCGTTCGTTCTCTCTCTATCTCTGGATATCATTCTCTATATCTCTCTATCCTATCTCTATACTCTCTCTCTCCTCTCTCTCTCTCTCTCTCTCTCTCTCTCTCTCTCCCTCTTCCTCTATCTCTCTCTCTCTGTCTCTCTCTCCTCTCTCTCTCTCTCTCTCTCTCTCTCTCTCTCTCTCTCTCTCTCTCTCTCTCTCTCTCTCTCTCTCTCTCTCTCTCTCTCTCTCTCTCTCTCTCTTCTTCTTCTTAGTTTTTCTTGTGGTCCTTGCTTTCTCATTCACCCCTGGCCAATTCTTCCTCCATGGCTGCCTTCCTCAAGAGGGGGCTGGATTTTTTATTTGGAAAGCCATTTGTCTTCTCTCCTTGTGTTGTCTCCCTTTCTCTCTCTCCATTGTTTTTTTTTTTTTGTCCAATAACAATATTCTTTTATTAATTCACATAAAGGCATACAAGCCTAGACCTACACCATAACCAGCCCCTACGACTGCCACCTTGTCCTGGCCCCCATGGCCTATACTACTCTCCAAGGCTCCTAACCAGCCTACGCACCACCGGTGCATCCACCTACGCCCCCCGGCATAGTGGCAAGGGGCGCCGCCCCATGGGTCCTCTCACACCACGGGTGTGGGACCTTGTGCGCCACGCCCTCCCATAGGGCAATTGTTTGCCATATGGCCGGGCTGGCCGCAACGGAAACACACCCCCTTGAAGCGGGGCTCGTGGCAGCCCGCGGGTGGCATGCCCTTGCTTTCCGGTTCACCGTCTCGAGGAAGAAGGCGGCCTCCGCGGGCGAAGCCGGTACGTGCACGCTTGAGGGCCGCCACGTCGGCTACCGCGAGCTTGTAAGAGCGGGACGTGAGCACGCTCTTGGCTTGGTACAGCTGGAACCGATCCGCCGCTTCGAAACCGGCCTCATCCGCCACCAAGAGCACCTCGAAGCGTTTGTTGATCAATGTTTTGACTTGCTCCACGTTGGCGAGCGCGCCCTCGACGTCGCCGTGTTGGAGCTTGAATTCCACGTGCCTCAGGTGAGCTTGAATTGCGGAGAACACCTCCGCCTGGTCACGCACTCCCTTGCGCATGAAGGTAGTAGCTGCGGGTGTAGGGTTAAGGGGGGGAAGGGGAGGTGCGGATGCGAGAGTGCGACGACGAGCAAGGTTGTCGGGGGCCTCACCGTCTTCATTTTCCGAGTCGTCGCTGTCGTCGGGGATACGGGCTTGGGTTGGTGCCGGAGCCGGGGCGGGAGCAGGAGCAGCGTTGTTGGCGCTAGCAATTTTGGTGGAGCGGGGGGGCGCAACAGGTTCCTGCTGCTTTTCAATTTTAGCGGAAGCAGAATTATTTTCGATTGAAGTTGCTGTAGTCGAAGGCGCATGCTGCTGCAATAACGAGAGCAGCGCCTGCAGCTGCTGCGCAGTCAAAGGGGGGGGGGGGCGGCGTTGACCGGGGGTGACGTCAGCGGAGGGTGCCGCGCGCTGGCGTTTCTGGGTCGTGGGCCCGGATGGACCCGCGTCAGCGCCGGTCAAGACGGCCGCCGCGTCAGCGGCGGCCGCCGTCTTCTGCGCAGCACGCGCGTGCCTGCCAGGCACACGCTCTTCAGCAGCAGCCACGCGCGACTGTACAACAGTCGCGCGTTCCTCAGGGGGGGGTGTCAGAATGTTGTATTTGTCTAGCCTGCAGTGGGGTACTCTATAGCGAGTACAGCCCAATCTAGGGTTTGCTATTTGTATCTCAACTGCTGCTAGTCCAAACCCTCTTTCTGCTTCTAAACTTTCTCCTACTACTTCGACATGCTATCAGAGCAGGTCGACCCCCTTGGGTCGATCCTGTGGGTGGGCCCACCACCTAATGCTTCCGCTGCTGTTCTACTTGTCGCGCGCCTTGGTCGCGCGACGCCGACTTCCTGCCGCCGGGTTTAGGGTTTTCATCCCGCCGTGCGCTCGGGGCGCGCGGCGGTTTTCTGCCCGCCGTGCGCCCCGAGGCGCGCGGCGGTTTCCTACCGTAGAGGACCCCCGCGCGCCCCCGCCCTGTCCGTTGCGGCGCCCTGGGGGACCCGCGCGCAGCCCCCGCTGCCCCGTCGGCGGTCGCGTCGCCCCGCCACCCCGTCGCGCCGCCCTGGGGAGCCGCGCGCGACCCCTCGCTGCCCCGTCGACGGTCGCGTCGCCCCGCGGGACCCGCGCGCGATCCCCGTCGACCCTCGCGTCGCCCCCCGGAGACCCGCGAGCCGCCCCTGGAGCCGTGCGCGACCCACCCCCTGCCCCGTCGCGGCGCCCTGGGGGCTGCGCGCGGCCCCTCGCTGCCCCATGGTGGCGCCCTGGGGGCCGCGCGCCTTCCCCCTCGCCGTCCCCCGCGCTCCTACCCCGTTCCGCCCGTTTTAGGGTTTGGGGGTGGGGAGTGTGGGGGTGGCGGGTGTGGGGGTGCCGGTTGTGTGCCCCGTCCCCTCCTTCTCCTCCTCCTCCGTCTCCCGCTGCTGCAGCTGCCGCTCAGGGGGGTGGGTGTGTGGGGAGCCGACGGAGTGGTACTAGGGGGGTGAAAGGGGAGTGGAGCTAGGGGCGAAGCAGGGGGTGTGTGTCGAGGGGTGTGGGACTGTTGGGGGAGGTTGAGCGGAGGCCGCCGTCGTGTCGTCTGCAGCGCCTGTATTCCGGGGTTCTGATAGCCACCGGTAGCTCAGAGAGCCGGTTGCACCTGTCGCCCGTGGGTCCGTTGCTCCTGTCGCTGCTGATCAGACGCAGAGCCTGTTACTCCTGTATTCCGGGGCCCTTGCTCCCGGTAGCCACTAGAGCTGCACCAGAGCCGTCTGTTGCCCGTGTGTCTGCAGCTTCAGTCGTCGCCTCCACTCTTCTCTCCTCTCGCCAGCCCTCCTCCTCCTCACTTGCCCTCTGTGACTGCCTCTAGCTTTGCTCATAAAATGTGAACTACTATTATGACTGCTTGTTGTGCTGATTACACCCCACTTTGGCTATGGGGGTGTGTCAGAATGTTGTATTTGTCTAGCCTGCAGTGGGGTACTCTATAGCGAGTACAGCCCAATCTAGGGTTTGCTATTTGTATCTCAACTGCTGCTAGTCCAAACCCTCTTTCTGCTTCTAAACTTTCTCCTACTACTTCGACAAGGGGTCCGAAGGGTGCCTCCGAGGAGGAGGTCGACCGTCGAGGGTCCCTCGCTTGAAATTTCTTCGGCGGGACGTTTTCCGCCGCGACGATCCGTTGTCCCGGCCGGAGTCGAGGTTTCCGCCGCGTTACCGGGGCTAGAAATGTTGGAGTTGTCGCGGTTAAGTGCCGGATTGACCGGAGCCATCGTTGCGAGGTTGCGCTTAAGGATGTCGTTAAGAAGCGTTGACGGGGCAGTGAAGCGCGGAAGCGACTGAGTCTTCACCAGTGTGGACGAGAACGAAATTAGAACTACAATTTTGAAAATGAAAACGTGGGTGGGGACGAATGTCCCCACGTCCCTCTTTTGTAGGCAAAAGAGGGTGAGTAGCGCTTCGGCGCTACCTTTGCTGTGTTGGCCACGTACCCCTTTTCACAATACAAAATTTTAGAAAGTGTTACATTTCATTACACTTTCAAAAATTATCATTTCTGGAAAAACCAGACCTGATAAAGTATTGGGAATAAAGAGCCCTGGTCCTGAGGCTTCATTCTAGCTAAACAGGGACTACGGCATGATGGAACTCGGTGCAATTATCAATTTGACATGCGAAGGATGGACAATCTCTAAGAAAGCACAGCCATGACATCAGACGACCTGAGCACAACATATGGTGAGCCACCCTTGCCCTTGAACTCATTGCCCGCAAACTTGGCATAGAGCACTGTGGCGCCATCTGCTATGTCCACAGGCTTCCTAGAACCATCCTCGCCCAGTGCACCTGGACCAACGGCAACCACCTGAGTATAGCGACAACCAAAAGGGCGAAGACACGGGAATACAGAGATGCATGAGGCGGTCAGAAAAGGCAGAGGAATTTGCATATGCACACGACGATAGTGTGCAAGGACAGCAGCACAGGGTGTGACGGTGATGGGGGTAAAGGCACTAAATAAGCTAGCGGGTGGTGCAGGGAACATACGGTGCCAACGACTGGCTTCTCCTTGGCGCTCTCCGTCAGCAGCACGCCCCCGCCGTCTTGGACTCAGTCTCCACCACCTGATGCCACACACCACGCACACGCACTCGCACACGCACACAGCTCAGCAAGCGCTCGGGCGCTTATCACGGTAAGTGATCTTGCGTGAAAAGCACGTGAGCATGAACCATGGGACGGCTGGCAATCATGTGATTGCAAACAACGTTTCGCAGCGAAGTCGGCACTAGCCTGAGCGCGAGTGATGGTCAACGTGATCCTACGTGGAGCACACAGCGACATTGCGACGCGAGTACTCCGCGGCGCGCTGCAAGCTAGAGATCTATGGCCACGTCGAGGCGTGAACACGGCCCACCTGGTACGGGGTTGCCTGACCTTGATGAGGACGCGGTCGTTGAGCGGCTTGAGGTCCGCGATGTCGTCCGTGGCGAGCACGCCCACGATGTCGTCCTCCTTCAGCAGCAGGTGCGGCGCGCCGTTGAAGTCGATCTCCACGCCCGCGTACTTGCTGTACACGATTTTGCCGCCCTCCTGCCATCGCCGCAACCACGCACCGCACACACCGCGCACTACGATGAGGGCTCGCGGTCAACGGGTGGCATGTTCGTTGCGGGGTTTTCGTTGCTACCTACGCGGAATCATTAGGCTAGCGTCACGAGGTGCGGGGTTGAAAACAAGGGGTAAAGGAACGTTGGGGCTTGGGGGAAGCGGGGGGACAAGAGTCTAATGTGAGTGAATATGGTTAGGTGAAGACCAAACACACGCCCCCGACACACACGCGCCTCGACTCCACACGCCGCCCACTCAACCGCCCACTGCCGCGCGCAATCTCCCACTGACATCCTTCCCCAGATACCACAGGCACACACATGCACTGTCCAAAGGGCAGAACCCTCAACCCGCGGCACTCACGGGAACGTCGACTGCGACCTTCTTGTCGCCCAGAGTCCTGCCAGAGCCGATGGCGACGACGGTGCCGCCCTGCGGCTTGGTCTGCGACGACGTGGGCAGCAGGATGCCGCCCGACGTGCGCTCCTCCACCTCCTGGATGCGCACCAGCACGCGGTCGCCCAGCGGCCTCAGATTCGTGAACTGCACGCCGCGGACGCCGCCGCGCAGGGGTGGGGGGATCACATGCAACCGTCGTTGGAAGCGAAATAAGGGTTTGGATCACTCGTGGAGGTATCGTACACGTTTCTCGCGCAACCATCGCACACAGTGCAAGTGCTTGGCGGTGTGTGCACAATGTGTCTAGTGCAGTGGATAAAGCAATGACGGCACTATGGGTCGTCTGATCTCAAAGCGCACGCATGAGACGTGCATCGACGCCGTCTTACCGTGGGCGCTACTGTGGTGGCGGCCCTCACGACGGCTCGGCGCGCTGCACAGGCCTTCTGCGCCAGTTGAGGCGCGGCAGTGCCTTGTGGAGCGGCGCGCAGACCGGAGAAGGAGGAGAACGCGGAACGGTGCGAGCAGGTGGCCGCGAGGGCCGCCTCTGTGATTGCCACATCAGCACGAGCGAGACTAGAGCTGAGAGCCGCCATGTTGGTGCGTGTTCGAGGCAAGAAGTCAACACTGGACGCGGACCAGGTTGACGTGTGGGCAGCTGCTGAACAAGTGAGAGGCTTTGGCGACTGATTCGATAATGGAAGCAGAAATGCGGGATGTGCGGAAGCGGGGGATAGATGAAGGCGGAAGCGAATGGGGGCAGTTGGGGTGTGATGGTTGCAGCGCAGGAGCGGGAGAGTGGCTTGGAGGGATAGGTTTTGAAGCTCGAGAGACATCTAGAGAAAACAGCGTGGCAGATCGCACGATAAAGACCAAGCCGAATAGAAAGGGCAGCCACGGTGACTGTGCCCGAAGAAAGAACATGCCACGTGTCGAGCGAAGTGGACACAAGGGAGGGTTTCTGGGACACGGATGCAACATTCGAGAAGATTGTTTAGGAAAACACTCATCCTCGATTGCAGAACCCTCGACTGTTTGGGAAGTTCCCTTGCTATTACACACACTGAACGATGAATATATTTTCACACTTCGTCTGTATGATTACGTTCCTAATTGACCTTCCTATCAGGCATCGTTGTTCCTATCAGGCATCGTTGTTTCTAGTATTTGAAGCGATGGGAGATTTTATGTTAAATCTACACTTTTATATGCGACAAATATATATGGGTACAGTACATATGTGTCAGGTTACATTCGTAGATTACAGGTAGGCATCTATTAAGGAGTATAACACTATTAATAGCAAACCATTGTAGCTTCCTACTGTATGATAGTATCAGCTATGTTCTTTCCTAGACCCAAACCAAGGCCCTAGATATCAACCTTTTTACGTTGATTCAGCATTAAATCAGGCTGAATTTTTTTATACTAGGCTGATTAAGAGGTTTTTAGCCATGTACCTTGGTTTTATTTGAATTTTTTTCCAGTGCTCTTTTGTCAGAATTATATTCTTATACCTGCATGCAGTTCTAGCTGTAGTGTAGATATTAACTTTATAGGTGGTGCACCACTTTGTTTGCTATATGTACCCTAGTGCTATAGTGAACACATCATCCTTCTCTCATTCTCGACTCCCTCCTTGGCACAATCTACCTCGATTGCCTTGGGCCTAGGCTACTAAGCCTAGGCCCACTTAAACTCAACCACTTTTCCCTTGCCTAAGTTCTGAGATGGTATCAAAGCCTGTTAAGTCCTGGCCTGTGGGCCAGCCACTCGCTTCCGCTGCTGATTTTCCGGTCGCGCGCCTCGGGCGCGTGGCGATTTCGTTCTGTCCCGCGCCCGGGTGGTGCGTGACGTTTTGTCTGAGCCGCCGCGGACCCGCCTCTGGCGCCCGCGACGGTGTGCTGAGCCGCCGCGGACCTGCCCCTGGCGCCCGCGACGGTCTGCTGAGCCGCCGCGGACCCGCCCCTGGCGCCCGCGACGGTGTGCTGAGCCGCCGCGGACCCGCCCCTGGCGCCCGCGACGGTGTGCTGAGCCGCCGCGGACCCGCCCCTGGCGCCCGCGACGGTGTGCTGAGCCGCCGCGGACCCGCCCCTGGCGCCCGCGACGGTGTGCTGAGCCGCGCGGACCCGCCCCTGGCGCCCGCGACGGGGTCTGAGCCGCCGCGGACCCCCCCCCCCCCCCTCTCCTCCTCGTTCGTCTCCCTGCTGCGCGTGCAGCCGTGGGGGGGAGGGTATGGAGGTGGGGGGTATGGGGGTGATGGGTGGTGTGTTTCCCTTCCCCTCCTCCTCCTTTCGTTCCCACTGCTGCAGCTGCCGCTGGGGGGGAGGGTGTGGTCCCTCTGAGGTGGGCGGGGGGAGGAGGAGAGTAAAGGGATGGCAGGAGTGCCTGCCCTTTTTGCTGCTGTGCCTTGCCTGCTATTTTCTCTGTCTGTGGTGTACCCCTGCAGGTTGTGTTCTGCACTTAGCTATTCCTGCATGCAGTTACGGGGGGATGTCAGAATTATATTCTTATACCTGCATGCAGTTCTAGCTGTAGTGTAGATATTAACTTTATAGGTGGTGCACCACTTTGTTTGCTATATGTACCCTAGTGCTATAGTGAACACATCATCCTTCTCTCATTCTCGACTCCCTCCTTGGCACAATCTACCTCGATTGCCTTGGGCCTAGGCTACTAAGCCTAGGCCCACTTAAACTCAACCACTTTTTCCTTGCCTAAGTTCTGAGACTTTTTTCTACCTTAATTGCTTTTTAGGGTAATTTTATAAGAGTGTAGGTTGTGCACTCAACCTTGTATATGGCGTGTACACTAAAACCGTCATTACACACATTCCCACCAGCCTCGCAAAGTGTAGGACCAACACCGTCAATCAAGGGCGGAAAATCGAGTCTCCCCAACACGGCACAATAGACTCGTATTGCGTAGCAGGCAGCGTTGTACAGGAAAGCTGTAATCATCTGTAATTCCAACAAATCGAGGTTGCGCAGCAAGATTCGTCGCCAAAGCATGGCTCGCAGTGCGTTGCTCCTCGCATGACGCCACAAACATCCCCCCAACCCACCTTTCCTGTAAAACGACCACGTGAAATGCATGCAGGGTCCAGCAGGGAGATGAGAGGTCCTATTACGCGGACCTATTTCACGATGCCTCATCCCCACCATTCTGGCTAGTCCCGACCTCGCAAAACATTGCTCGGCAGGCTCAATGAATGCCCCAGACGCGGTCGCTGAAGGGCCTGGCAACGACGACGATGCAGATGGGCCCTCTAGTCCACATGGTTACTGGCCTAGATTTCATTATGTATTCGTTAGAGGAGCCATGATGCCAGCGCCACCGTTGCAACCTAGCTCGAGTCACGCTCCAAATTCCACGCACTCCAATTCTCTGCCCGATGCCACCACTGAACCTGTAACAGCTATACCAACGACATAGGTACATGAGGCATTTGTTGAAGCACCATCCCCTTCCGCGCCACCTACGAAGTTGCGATACCGCTAGTCTACCATTGCGTGGGCAACTTCACCACCTGCCTCGAATGTTGAAGCTCCAACAAGGGAGGACTCTCCCATGTGGTGTAGCTCCAAGCCCATTCCTAAAAACATGAGTTGAAATACGAAGAAGCTCTTGATCGTTACAAGGCTTGGTGGTGTATATATTTCCCATGGCTGATTTTGACTAATACTTGTGCTGGTGCCCCTGCTTTTAAGTGCATCACATGCACAGATTTTGCTTGATTAATAGGCAGATGTGGACGGCGTGGAGAATGCGCTACCAATGTGCAGACGCAAGCCTTGTAGCATCCAGATGACTTATTTCACAAAGTGGCGGGACAACAGCGCATTAACCTTCACCCAAAAGCGCATGAGAAGGAGATGTTGCAGCTTTTGTCGCTCTTGGACCCGCTGTACTTAATGAGCAAGTGCAACAAGCCCATGGACTCGTGAATTCGACCAGTGTGCTACCTGGCGATCAAGAAGGTGCCCGAGTTTCAGCGCAGGGATACGGGACTTAGCACAATACGTAAACATGTTGTGTTAAGGGTTTTATATTGACATTCTCCAGATGCTTGTGGCTAACTATCCCGTTTAATGTGTTTAACATGTACGGCTACAATAGACTCAGACAAGCAATTGCGACGTGGCTGTCAAACATATATGCTGCATATTGTCTAGGCTGTAGTGGGGTAGCCCATATGGGGTACAACCCAATTAGGGTTTACTACTTGTACTCCTGCATGCTGCTAGTTCATCATTCCTGCTGCTAGATTCTAACATGGTATCAGAGCACTAAGGTCCGTAGGACCATTTTTTTTCGGGCCCACCTACCGCTGCGGTTACCGCGCTACCCCACGTACCTGCCTGCCTTGCCTTGCCTTGTGACGTGCTGCACTACGCGCGCCGTCCAGCAGCCCTAGTGCTGCCTCCTGCTGCCCTAGGCCAGCGCGCTGCCCCTAGAGGCCCGTAAGGCCCGCGCGCCGCCCCTACACGCCCTTCAGGCCCGCGAACAGCCCCTGCAGACCGTTAGGCCCCTTGCTGCCCGCGCCGAGCCGCGCGCAGCCCGCTGCTGCCGCGCGCTGCCCGCACCGAGCCCGCGCAACCCGTGCCGAGCCGTGCGCAGCCCGCACCGAGCCGCGCGCAGCCCGCTGCTGCCGCGCGCAGCCCGCGCCGAGCCCACGCAGCCCGCGCCGAGCCGCGCGCGGCCTGCTACTGCCTCGCGCGGCCCGCAGCAGCCCGCGCCGAGCCGCGCGCGGCCCGCTACTGCCTAGCGCGGCCGCGCGCGGCCTGCAGCAGCTCAGCGCGCTGTCAGCGCAGCCCGCGCCGAGCCGCGCGCGGCCCTCTGCCTCGGCCCCGACCTGCCGCTGATGCGGCCCCGCCCTGCAGCTGCCACGGCCCCGACCTGCCGCTGATGCGGCCCCGCCCTGCAGCTGCCACGGCCCCGACCTGCCGCTGACGCGGCCCCACCCTGCAACTGCCGCTGAAGCGGCCCCGCCCTGCAGCTGCTTCGGCCCTACTCTGCAGCCGGTGTTGCGGCCCCGACGTCGCCGCTGTCGTGCGCCTACTCGAGCGCCGCCCGTCGAGCGCCGGCCCTGCTCGCCTGGTGAGCACCTGCCCTTCCAGCCTTTGGTGAGCGCCTGCCTGCCTGCCTGCCGGCCTGCCTGTCTGCCTGCCTGCCTGCCGGCCTGCCTGCCTGTCTGCCTGCCTGCCTGCCTGCCTGCCTGCCTGCCTGCCTGCCTGCCTGCCTGCCGGCCTGCCTGTCTGTCTGCCTGTCTGCCTGCCTGCCTGCCTGTCTGCCTGCCGGCCTGCCTGCCTGTCGGCCTGCCGGTAGCCGTCGTAGCTGTCGCCCTGGAGCTGGTCAGTTGGGAGCGTCTGGCAGTGGCCAATTGGAGCTGCAGCGGCGTCCACGCGAGACACTTACGTCCCGGCAGCTCCACGAGTGGTACGCTCAGTGTAGCAGGTCTACGCGTACAGTTCGCTGCCAGTACGTCATTCGCACAGGTGATCGGGTTGGTCAGCCTTGCGGGACGCTTGGTCACACACAGTCCCGCTGCTTCGCCCGTCTGAGCGACGACTGGCGTACAGTGTTTGGCGACGAG